GATGGCGTTGACGTAGGTGCAGTTGTTTGCGCAGATGGAAGGATGTTCTGGTGGGAAGACCTGGAGGTACCAGTTCGGTGGTTCGTATGGCTCGTTGAAGACCTCGTCTGGGAGGAAACCTAGGCTTGGACGCTTGTAACCGGTCGCCATGATGACGATGTCGGCTTCAACCAGTTTCTCGGAACCAGGTCCGTTCTTGGGGACACCTCGTGCGCGCTTGTTAAATTTGATGCCGGTGCCAGACTCGTCGTAGCCCAGGATATCGCCGCGGAGCCATGATGCTTCACCTGAGCGGATGAGGTCGAGGACTGAGTCGTTTACCATCGGTGTTTCGGTGAAGAGACCCTTTCCGCTGTTGGATGCTGGTGAAATGTCGTAGAGATCGCGGTAGAAGAAGAGACGTAGGATATACTCCGGAATCCAACTGAAGATGGTCTCCATGCCGAAGATGTTGAAAGCGAGAAGACTGTCGATGAAAGGATTTCTCGGGATAATCCACTTCTCGGATCGAGCCAGTACGTTGGCGTGTTCTGCTTCTGCGCTGGCGACGAATTCTAGGGCCTCGACGGCTGAGGCACCGCCACCTATGATGGCGACCTTCTTTCCTTTGGCCACTTTACCGTCGAGTTGCGAACTGTGCCAGATTTCGCCTTTGAAGTGTTCTTGGCCGGGAAGCGTTGGCATCTTGGGATCACCACAGGTGCCAATCGCAGCAATGACGCCATCGAATCGTCCGTGAGAGGGGTCGTTGATGATCCATCGTCCGTGAGGATCCTTGTACACCTTTTCAACACGCATATTGAACTCCGTCTTACTCTCAAGACCATATCGCTCCCAAAGGGACCTGATTTGTGATACAATCTGCTGGCGATCCGGATATCCTTTGCTCCAATGCACCGAAGGGTGGAATCGGTACATGAGCGAGTGTATTTGTAGACCAGACGTATTGTTCACCCGGCTCCAAATTCCACCAAGGTTCTTCTTGGATCCGGCTTCGAAGATGCGACAATCGAAGCCATGACCGACAATGTGCGATGCAGCGGATACGCCTGTCAGGCCTGCGCCAATGACTGCGATCTTAGGGCGTACGAGGTTTGCATGCGGTGGCGGCGGTGCTGGCGAGAGCACAAAGTCGAGCACATATTGTATGACTTCGTAGATGAAGAGAATGGGGTGAGTGAGGAAGTATTTGATGTAGCTCATAAAGTAGCCCATCGTGACGGATGACTTTCTCTCGTTGGGAGAGAAGGGAGACGGAGAGACGGAGGCGAGAAGATGGCTGCGGCATCTTGATATGCATGACCTTGATCCATTTTACGTGACGTTCAGCTTTTCACACGGAGCCTTGCGGAAACGTGCAGTTTCCGATGTTGTGTTTCGCATATTACGACTTGTGATGTCACGGTGGGCCCGTTGCATTGTCCTGCAGGCGACATGTGAAAGCCTTTCGGGCTGCAACGTTGCTTTTAACAGCACTGAGCCATCGTTGGGCTGGCTTGATTCCGCCTGCTGACAAGACGGGTAGTTGAAAGTATCCTTAAATTATTGAAAGTCAATCTTCCCACGTTTACTGCTTCCCGAGTAGTATCCTAGCAGCCAAAGTCGACCCAAGCTGATGGAACGAATGAGAGGCCTCGTCCGGATCGTCGACAGGGATGGGGCGGATGGCGAGACTTGGAGCTAGGACCTGACGCTAATGCGAAAGCGGGCAGCTCCTTCTATTTGCGCTCCACCCTCTAGCTCAATCCTTCCTCAACCACCAACGGTGGCTTTTGTAGCCATGTCGTTCTTCCGGGGTCAACCCGATGTAGAGACGCGCTTATGCACGGCAGTTAACGTTGCGATACAAGCCGGAGATCCGCATCAATTGCAGTCCATCGTACTGCTGGAGCCAGGCGAAGGCAATGTTTTCCCGCCAGACCATCAAGAGCTCATCCAGTCCTTGCAGCAGAATTACCCTGCAAACAACGAACAGTCTGAGAAACGTCTCGAGGATCTCGTCAGGCGGGTCGTCACTGAGACTGCAGAGTCTGAGGATGAGGAGGGCAGACCTATTCAGTCTTGGGGTTCGCTGGTCACCTTCCTTGTCGGATGGATGACCTTTCTCCGAGACATGGACGCAGAGAATCTTGTGTTGATTTTCGAGCTGATGACAGATCTCCAGTCGTATGTTGATGGAAGTAGCCATCAAATTACTTCATGCTAACGCGACGCCAGACGAGCAAATAGCGCTTTGCAGCATCCAACCAAGGGCATTCTGATGCTTCCTACCATCATGTATTATGCCAAGGTATTCGCAAGAGTAGCGATTGGATTAGAGAAGAGACCGGACTTGACGATGCATCTCATTACCACCGACGCGGACGAGGATGGCCAAAGCGAGTCATTGCCAGAGCGGGCAGCGAATATCGTGCGACAGGCCTTCATCATATGTCTCAACGACCGCAACACTGTACCCGGAGGTATCAAGGACGGTAAGCCTGACGGGAAGAAGGTTGGAATCTACAAGATGGCAAACATATGTTTGAAGACCCTCTTCCAGGCCGATAAGCTGGGGAGCTGCGAGACCATCTTCAACAACATATCGAACTCCTCACCACCATTACACATCTACCCGGCTGCGGAGCGCATTACCTTCCTTTATTACCTCGGGCGGTACCACTTCAGCAACACCAACTTCTACGGAGCTCAGCTCGTTCTGGAGCTAGCATACAGAGGTTGCCACGGGCAGTGTCCAAAGCAACGCCGCTTAATCGCAGTCTGCCTTGTCGCTGCCAACATACTCCTCGGTCGTTTCCCAAACGAACTCATCTACAACGACCCTGCATGCGTGGGCTTCCGGGAAGTGTTCGAACCGCTTTGTCGTGCGATTCGCAGGGGAGACCTTGAAACATTTCGTCGGATAACGAATCTGGACCTTTCCCATCCAAGTGCGGAGTTTATGATCAAATACCGTATTTTCTACCCAATCGGCAACTACTGCGAGCCCCTCGTATGGTGGTCACTTCTCCGCAAGGTATTCATCCTTACTGGAAGCATAGGGGAAGCATCGAAATCGGCTGCTTTGCTCGACCTCAACGCAGCCGTCCTTGTATTCCGCTTCTTAGAGGCGCGCTCGCTCATCAAAAATGCTGCAATGGCCGCGCAAGACCGTGGTCCCGGTCGTCGCAACTTTGGCCACATCTACCAGGATCATGCATCAACAAGCAAATCGACATATATCGACCCGGACTTTATCGGCATGGAAGGGGTGCAGCCGTATACTCACGAGTATGACTTGCTGGAGTTGGAATGCATATGCGGTAGTCTCATCACCCAAGGTTATCTGAATGCGTACATTGCGCAGGCGAAGCAGAAGTTGGCCATCCAAGGTGTCAAGACGGGAAATTTGAGCGCTGGCTTCATCAACCCGTGGGAAGTCAACAAGGAGAGGAACAAAGACGAGGTGCTTGGATGGAAGAAAGAAGCTGGAGGCGATGGAGGACAGGTTGTTAGGCTGTCGTCCGCGGCACCGGCTGGGATGTAGAGGAAGGTTGCGCATGATACCCTGATATTGAGATCGGATAGGAATATATGCCAGTAAGACTCCATACGTTGCTTGCGATGCTAATTAAACCCCAAAGATGACCCGCGAACTCCCTCAACGCCGACGCGCTTGTATCGTTTGCGTGGCACCCCATACCTCAAACCGCAACACCGTTGTTGTCCATCCGTCTTCCAACATCCGAGCCTCAGCACATGATAACGACCGTGTTGTTCTGACCTCTTCTGTTGCGAGATTGCCTTCGTCTTCGTGCTCTAGAATGACCTGCAGCGGGATTGTTGTTGTCTGTGTTCAGTCAATACTGTAACGAAGAGACTTGGTCAGCAAACATACTATTAGAGTCTGTCGTCCACAGCTTCTTGCCTCGTCGTCTGGCCAGCCAAGCTCTAAACAGCAGACCAACGCAAGGGACGAGCACGACGAGCAGAACGCTGAACAACCCGAAGAGCGCTTCTTTAGTCCAGTAGGGGTCTGTGATGGACGCATGGGGAGCTGGCTGTGCGGATGGAACATCTAACAGCAGGCATTCGTGAGTGAGCCTTGAATCGACGTGAACCAATAGACATACCTCGTAGAAATTTAGTCGCTATGGGCATTGCCCTCGACGAATATTGTACTGGCATGACTTGTGATGAATATAGGACAAGTAATCGCGATGGCTAACAAAACCGCGAAAGTTAATACATGAAACTACGATGATGGTGTTGAATCAGTTCAAATGATATCAGCTCGGGGGGAACGCTAAATAGAGCTGGGTTTCATAATCAGAGGAAGCTTCGCCATTGATGAATGGATTTCTCACCGCTTATCATCCGAATACCTCACGGGTACCTAGGTACATACCTAATTTCTCCTTTCTCAGTAGTTGGAACCTTAGCTTTAACAATACAACTCTGAATACACGCATATTTCTCGCACCGCCTCCTTAAGGCTCGAGGCTCGACCCACAGAATGTTTTGTTCGGACTGGTTTGATTTCCACATCGGGCATGCGGTCCAAGCTTCGCAACCGCTTAGCCAAGTACAGCTCCGCTGTTGTACAATTATAATTCGTTTTTTCTTTCCCCACGCCATCTACACATCTACATATAAATGAAGTCTCCTCACGCAATGAACTTGTGATTCTGGTGCAACTTTTTTTGGTGTCTGCCCAGGTGCACTAGAGCTGCTACCGCGGAAAGCTGGTATCCAGAGCTGCGTTCGCGCCTTCGGCACACCTCAGCAAACTTGGAAGCACCTTCCCACCACTGCAACTCACAGCGATAACAACATTTACTACGCTGCAGCGCAGACTTATCTCACCTGCGAGATCAGTGCTCATCGCCAACCGCATCCTTGAAGCCGCGGTCGAACGCCTTAGCCTGTGAGCAAGTACCCGCGTCTAGGCTATAACTCCCTTCTAATTGTCATCAATCCACCGTCCCTTCATATCCTTAACCCGTAGAAGAAAGCGCACCATGGAACACAACACAAGGGAGGAGGAACGGGACTTGACTCACCTGCCGTTTCCCAAACCGATCCCCGTCGAGGACTTCAATGACCCCGCTGTCATCAATAGGAGCCCCGACGATGAGCTGCCAAGTTGCGGGGGACACGGCACTTTAGAGATTCTACAAGTGGCAAAGCTACTAGATGCAGCTGGCGTTACCTGTTGTCTCGTTGGTATTTCCGCTCTGATCTACTACGGCGCCGGAAGGGTACGCAGGGTAAGCTCAAAGTGACGCCCCGTTCTCTAGATTGTCTCAATCCTTGTACTGCTGACTTGGACTACTAGGACTGGGAGGTGTGCGTGCCCACAGAACAGCTTGAAGAAGTGTCTGCACTTCTGGGCTCAGCCGCCACTTACGAAACTTATGCGCCACGCCCACCCGCCCCGCGGTCGCTACTGCACACTTTCCCCCGGTTCAAAGTCGTAAACAAAGCACTGTGCTTCACATTGATCCCCTCGGAAGACGCGCACATCGAATGCGTATCCCCCAATGTTGAGCGTAGCCACATGGGTCTCCCGTACCCGATACTAGAAGTATTCGCACAAAGTCTTCTCGACACCAACGATATGGTTGCACTCACAGACCTTATAGACGGCATGAATCTGACCGAAGAATGGGGCTTAGAGCATTTGAACCTTGACGCCGAAAATGATTTAGCGTGGGTATGGCGAAAGAACGAGAAGATCCGGGCTTCGGTCCCACTTGACTTCACCTCGTGTCTCCTGGAAATTCCAAACAAACCGATCAATCTGAAAGAGTCCTGGAATGACACTGTCCGAACCAAGGAGCGTCGTATTGGCGCGGAATTGGCCGAGGGATATTGGGCCACGCGGTTTCGTGGTGTAGCATCCCCGGATCCAAGGTCTACGGAGAGGGACTACGTATAAGGCGCGGACGCAGGCGTAGTAACAACGCAGAGATCTCCAGGATAGCTCGGAGCATTACAATCGTCTATGTCTCAACAAGTTCTGTTTGATGATTGAGAAAAAGCAAGTCTGGATGTGATTTGGAGTTTGTCAACATCAAATACCCGACCATCAATCCACGATCGCCGAAACTGTGGTGGTCTGGTTTACCGTCGTCTCTTCGAACTCAAACGACCAAGAATTGAAGACAAAGTTTCGTCGTTTTTGGCTAAACTTCTGTTCAGCTACGACACTGGTGGACAAGGAGGCGGTTCGCCGCGGCGCAGTTAAGCGCTGCTGTGCCATTCAGTTGCACTTAACGCGCTATGATCATGAAACACACGCTCAAGGCACACACTCCTTTCACAACGGAACAGTTCGCGCCAGGATTCGCGATGGTCAAATTCGCGCGCGCTTTCAATTCCGAGGTCCTCTTATCTGTTGGTGACTTGAACTGCTCATAAAGAGGAACAAATGTTGTATCACATTCTCAGACTAGCTACTGCCAAGTCTTCGTCTTCCAGTCAGATATACGTTGTTCTGTATAATATCTACCTAGGTATATTACAATACTCGGTTTTCGTCTCTTCTTCTCAGTCAAACTTTTTATCTTCGGGATGTCTCGTTCCCGAGCAACTCAACAACAACCGGGAACGTATAGCCCTGAACAACAGCATGCCTTGGTGGCTGCGGCGAATCGTGCTGTTACCTCTCAATTATTCGCTGCAGCAGACCTCATGTCTCGGGTATTCCAAGTCAACGCCGTCCCCTACGCCTTTATGGGCGGATTTGCGCTGAAGCTTCGAGGAAGCATTCGCGATACCCAAGACGTTGACGTGGCTGTCGGATGTACGATGCAACGGGCCATCGATGTGCTTTCCGTGCAAGCCAGGTGAGCAACTCAACATGCCATTAATCTGTCCAGCGACGAACTGAGGTCATAGAGTCCGTCGTCCTGCTGGCCCTACGTCCGGCGTGATGAGAATTTTCGTTCTGGTCGGCGGCCCTTTGGATCCTGGTGTTCCAGAGCTCTGGGTTGCCGTAGATATAATCCTCGGAGGCAAGCGTCACTCTTTGTTTTCTCGCGGCTGACTATGATGGACAAATCGATAACTTCTGCGACAGGCTCTCTCGGCGCCCCTACCGACATTCAAAGCAACTCGGAGATTGTGACCTACAACACAGACATCGGATCAAAGCAGCTTCCTCTCATTGACATAGTGAGCGCAATGGCTAGCAAGCTGAATGCATATCATTTTAGACAAGAACGAAAAGACTACGAAGATATCTGGTTCCTTATAAGGACGTACTCTGAACAAGTTTTTGCAATCAGAACACGACTAGACGCAACGCACTGCCAGTATTTTGTTGCATCCCTTGCGGAGAGGGAATCAGAGGAGGCTATTCGAAGTATTAAGTCTATTCTGAATGTAGCTTAGGGATCGAACTCGGAGGACGACAAGTAACGCACACTTCAGAACTGCCATTTTTGTCATCGCGAGTAGTAGTAAACGCTGGAATGATATGAACGTGAACGATGGTGATGGACAGCGCTGGGCAGCCCTTGCGGCACCACAACTGCACGATGAAGGCTGGAAGAGTTTGTTTGTCGGGCCAAAGAACCGAAAAGTATCAACTTCACGAGGCTCTTTTCGTATATTCTATCTTACATGTCCGCTTGTTGTCCGTCTATTGCCCAACGTTGGTGAAGCGCAGGTACTTCTTGACCTCCCTGACATCGCCAAACTTCTTCCTGGCATCCTCAGTGCTGACGCTGGGTGGCACGATGACGTCTTGGCCCTTTTGCCAGTCAATAGGTGTAGCAATGCCCTTCTTGTCTCCTGTCTGCAGGCTGTCGATAACTCTCAGTACCTCCGCAGTGTTCCTGCCCGTGCTTGCGGGGTATGACATTGTGAGGCGGATCTTCTTCGCTGGGTCGATGATGAAAACCGAACGGATCGTGAAGGCAATGCCGCCGTTCTTCTGGAGCGCATCGAGGTCGTCTTGCGAGATCATATCGTAGAGGAAAGCGACGTGGCGGTCGGCATCGGCGATGATGGGAAACTGCACGGTGGTGTTGGAGGTCTCGTTGATGTCGGCAATCCACTGGTCGTGAGAGCTCAGGTCGTTGGCGCTCTACAGCAATGTCAGTAGGCCAATCTTGACCTGTCAATGAGCCGATAGACGCGTACCAAGCCAATCATCTGGACGCCGCGCGCATCGAATTCATCCTTGAGCTTCGCAAAGGCCCCAAGCTCAGTCGTGCACACAGGTGTGAAGTCGGCAGGGTGGCTGAAGAGGATAGTCCACTTGTTGTCCAAGAACTTGTGGAAGTCCTACTTGAAGTCAGCATGCGTTGCGCAGCATTCGTCGGAGAAGCTTACCATGTCGCCATGGGTGGTCTTCGCCTGGAAGTTAGGCGCTGCGCGTAGTCAGTACCGTTGATCTGAGATATACTCCAAACACTACATACCAATGGATCCCAGCCTCAGTCGTGGCTGCTCAGCTGGAAGCGCGATTCCGCGACGGAGTAGCGGGGCAGCAGGGCGCTGTACCCTCAGGGCAGGACGCGCCGAAGCGCGCAGAGCTCGAGAAGCTGCACGAGGGAAGAATGAAGCCATTGTGAGGTTTTCAGAATACGATCAGGTATCTGAGATGTGTTCTGGAGCTTTGGAGGGTGGTTCACGGCGGCAACGTCGATTAGTAAAACGGGGACTTTTCGACATGGCGTCATGTCGAATCAAAAAGCCCCGCCGGTCCGAAATCGGCCGTCTCTACCTCTTCGTGCAGTGATAATTCCAACACCGCGGAGGCATTCTGTCGGACATCCATCGCAAGCATCTGGAGTACGAATTGATGTTGCGCGCGGACAGCAGCAACGACCCTGCCACGCGTGTGCCACGCGACGGTATCCAACATGACGTCAGCGTGCGTGCATTAGCACCAGCGAAGCCACCGACCACATCTCACACATTTCCATTTACTTTCCCATCCTTGATGGTTATGCCCAACTCATCCTCTGAAGCCAGCATAATTGGAACAGTGAAACCCTTCCACGAACGGGCGGGAACCCTGTCGCCTTCTCCCTCTTCCTTCTCCAGCTCACCACACCACCATGTGCAACCCTTTGGACGCATCCGAACTATATATCGGCCATCCTCAAGGCTTCGGAGCGTGCGTCCAATATCGAATGAACTGACTAATGGGATTCCAGGTTTCAAAGTGACCAACTCATCCATCTTGGCTCTCAGGTCGGTTTTCGCATGCCGCAATTGGCAGATGCTGGTCTGTTGCCTGTGCATCATTTTACCAGTCGCGGCATTGACGATGAGAAAACTTGATGTGGGCAGACGATTCATCTCTGACTGATCAATGACCCTGCGGCGACCGTCGAGGGTATTCGTTTCGGTAGCTGAAGGACCCCATGGGACGAGGAACTTCTGCTGGCCCCGTGACTGTACGGTCACAGTCTCGGAGCCACTATTAACGACAGTGATTTCCAACGATATATCATTGACGAGACACATGCTCGTCACTAGTCGCGGTGGAAACTTTAGGTCATCGACGACCTTGAAAGCTGCATTACCGTGGCGCCAGCTGTTGACTAGTCTCACTTCCTCGCCATCTCCGTCGCTGTCGGCAAAATCCTCTTGGTTACTGTATGTCCATTTCTTGACTCCAAGGTCGCGACTTGCGAGTCTTATTTTGTATCTCTTTCCCGGCTTCAAAACTGACGCTAACACGCCCTGGAGATCAATAGCGCATAGATATACCGTGATATCATGTCTCCAGATCTTTGTTCGATGAACCCGGGACGGAACTGAAATGCAACCTCGATTGTTCGCATCAACCTCTCCAAGCGAGCTTACATCCACTTCAACCCATTGCGTAGCTTCCCCGGGGCGTTCTTCATACAGGGTTAGCAGGCCATGCGCCAGTGCGTAAGGCACATCGAAGACTGAACCGACCGTGTCAATAAGTATTGATCGAGGGTCTGTATCAGACTTTTGTAACCGACAAAGACCAAACACTACACTGAATGGTAGCTTCCCTGATGCGTCGAAGACGTTGTAGCGGCTGTGGAGCTGAACGTGAATCGGGAATTTGGTCATTGCGGTTCGTACGTGAGAAGAACAGAAGAACCTGTGGATACACTGGGAAATAAGAGTGAAGGGCTTTCTTGAAGATGAATCACCTTGCAGGTTTCATTCGCGTTCCTATAGGTCTTGAGCATAAGCACGAGATAAACACTCGTTGTTGCCTGCCGTCGCAGACATGCCACGCGAGTGCCCCACTCCGAATCTCGAACATGACGTCATCCCGCATTGTCGAACCCCGAGCTTTCCACATGAAACTTGGTCGATGTGGCTGGGGATCAGGGCCACGCGCCTCGCAGCGGAGAAACAAGAATTGAAAAGCCGTTGAAGGCCCAGCCCCGCGCGCCGAAGACGTTGTGTTCACACTCGAATCGTCTTCGGCAGCGCTTGCCTAGCTACACTCGCTTCTACATCGCCCGATATGTCCATAACGTCCTTCGACAACAAGCCCGGAACAGGCGGCTTCCTCAAATTCAACTCCGGTCCGCCGCGCATATATCTCACCTGCGCACTCCCGGCACCAGAGAAAGCGCTGCTGTCCTGGCGCGAAGAAGGCTACGACGCGCAATACCTGCCATACGACACCAACACGCAAAACCAAGCAGCCTACATCCGGTCCCTCAAAGAACTATCCATAAATTTGAACCTGGGCGAGAACTACGCGATTATAGCTTATGGCGATGCAGCGAGTGTCGTGTTGAAGACGGCACAGAAACCGCTGGCGAAATGCTGCGCCATCATAGCGTTCTACCCAAGCGTGTTACCAAGCCCAAAGACCATGTACCCAAATTCGCATCAGTTGCAAGTCCACATAGCGGGACTCAGCCAGTCTAGCCCAAGACCAGATATGTGCGAGTGGAAGCTGTATCGGTACGAGAAGTGTGCCACGGGATTTGCGGATCCATCTTCGCGAGCGTATTCGGAGGTAGAAGCGAACCTGGCATGGACAAGAGCGCTAGCATGTATACGGAAAGGATTTGGGAAGAACGTGGATCTTGAACCTATTGCGCTGAGCCACTGGAATGCGAGGTTTGAGGACGACGATCCAGATCGCGCGAGTATGAGTGTGGTGAAGAACATGACGCAGGATAGCCCGCATGTTACGATCTTGCCGACTATGCAGGGAGGTGTGGGAAGGAAGAAGCTTGCGGAGTTTTACGGAGAGTTCTTTGTGCCTAGCCTGGTGGAAGACTTCTCTATACGGTTGGTCTCGAGGACTATGGGTGTCAATCGTATAGTGGACGAGATGGTTGTGTCTTTTACGCATTCGGACGAGGTCGACTGGGTGCTGCCAGGTGTGCCGCCAACGAACAAGCGAGTGGAGATACCCATGGTCAGTATCGTGGCGGTAAGAGGAGACAAGCTGGTTTCGGGGCATATGTATTGGGATCAAGCTTCTGTTCTTGTGCAGGTCGGCTTGCTGGATCCCAGGATGGTTCCGAAGAAGTTGAAGAATGATGGATTGAAGGCGATGCCTGTCGTAGGAGCGGAGGCAGCAAAGCAGTTGGTTGAACCGCAACAGAACCGATACAACAAGCTGCTACAAATGCACGGTCTTATGGACGGTTTGAATGGCAACTAGAGATTATCGCATCTTATTTTCAGCGCGGTGTTCCGGAGTAAGGCTTGGAAGAATCGCTTCATCGAGCCTGGAGAGTCTCCGTAGTCGCTTGATAGATTCTCCAATACTGTTCATCATCAAATTCATCTCCAGATCAGTTCTTGGAATTATCTGTTCTCAACCGATGAAATTGCATGTCGGCAGCTTGTACTCATTGAGTACCCAGTACTTCCGCCTCACACCCTCCCATTCACCCTTATCATCCAAGTTCGGTACAGGGACCGTTTCCCATTCTGTGTCGAAACCAGCCTCGAAGAGATCGAATTCAACGATCTTGTTGTAAACATCGTAGACAATCTGGCGATCTGCTCCCATGCCGTTGAAAAAGCCGAACTTGCCTCCTTCGCCATCGGAACCACCGGCAGGATCGAGGAGCCCGATGACATGTTCTGTGAAGAACTCGCGTAGTGCTTTGTACTCTTCAGCGAAGGTGTCAAAGTAGATCGCGTCGAATAGCTCGCCCTTTTCAACAAGACCTGGTACAATGTCCTGCCAGCGGCCCTCGTGGATGATGACACCCGGCTTCTCGTGCCACCCCTGCTCTTTCATGCGCTTGATGACATCTGGGTGCGCCTCGATGATGTGATGAGCCTTTGGCTTCTTCTCCTGGAAGATACCGTCGATGATACCCATTCCATGACCGACGTTCAGAACGCGAAGCCCTTCTGTTGGTACCAGTAGTTCCGCAGATTTGCGCATAAGCGTTGTCTCCCATTCCATCATGACTCCATTCGAGGAATCGTCCAGTAATCGGTCGCGGTCGAACGTGAGCTTGGAAGAGAGATAATTGGGGTTCTCGGTTGACTCGTCGCCTTGCGCTTCTTCTTGGCTGATATCCACTACCTCGACGCCTTCAGCCACCTCTTCAACCTCATCTTCCTCCTCGTCTTCTTCGTCCGAATCATCGTCTCCAAGAAGCTGGTATTGCTCCATGCGACTCAGCAGCATCTCTGCGCGCACGCCTGCGTCGACACAAAGCTCGTATAGTTCTTTTAGGCCCAATCGATGCGCGATGCATCCCGGTGTTTCGCCATTGGAATCCAAGTCGTTCCATATCGCACCGTTCTCGAAAAGAAATTTGATGGTCTTTACAGCGCTGTCCATTTCGTTCTTCGAATCTTCCGCCCCATCCGCTGCTTCTCCGTTTGTGTTTCCGTTGACTTGCTTTGCGTCATCTTCGTCGGGCTCACAGGCAGCGATTGCGGCGTGCAGAGGCGTAAAACCAGTCTCGGAATCTTGGACGTTCGCGGAAGAGTGGCGCAGAAGGTTGCGGAGCGAGGCGGTGTCGTGGTTTGCGGCGGCGAGCAAGATGCTTTGCGTCTGCAGATCAGTCTGCGTATCGAATTCCGGGTCGTCCATGATTATTTCAGTAGTGTTGGTATTGTGTTCGCAAAGTATCTGGAGGGGCAGTTGAAGGGCCTGGAAATTTACTGAGACGCGAGTCATGCAGGGTCCAGCTGGTGGATGTCGCAGTGTCAGTGATGCTCTCCTCAAAGCCAAAGCGACACAGAATTGCATGAATATATTGGCAATAATCTTGCAACATACACCCGAACTGAGATGCCTCATGATCCATGAGTGATTTTCGCATTGTCGGAAGATGATCCTACTTTGTCCTCTACAACTCATCGATAACACTTGAATCCAACATTTTCTCCAACTCCTCCCTTGGAGTGATCGTCCGGTTGTCTTGCTTCGCTAGATACCCATCCTCTTCCACCAAAAAGTCTATCATCCCATCATCCCACCGTCCACTCCAATTATGGTGCTTCCAAACAGCCTCGACAACCTCCACATCTGCATCAACAGTCTTAGCCACATATTCAAAAACGTTCTTCTCCTTCGGCGTATTCGTGAATACGTCCCGTGTCTTGTCAAGCGCCCTCACAAACTCTACAATGTCCTTGCGCCTCGAGGGATTGTCGAGAGCTTCTGTAGTAGAGAACAGCGCGTAGACTTCTCGGTAGATTGATGCGTTTTGGAAGATGATCGCGTCATCCCCCAAAGCCCTAGCGCCGAGCTCGACAGAAGTTTCCCAAATACCGAACGCATCTAGACTTCCGTTATTGAGAAGATACGGGAGAGTATCGTTTGCACACGGCGTCTTCATGCACCACCACGCATTAACACCTTCGTACTCATGATCCTGCACACCGACACTACTCATCATATTGTGTACGAACACTTCCGCACTCGAACCCAGAAAACTGCCAATCCTCTTGCCCTTCAGATCTTCAAGTTTGTTGATACCCTTCCTTCTATCGGCGACGAGGCGGTACGAAACCTCGCAGATGACGTAGATAAGGCGGATGTTACGGTGATCGACGAATTGTCTAATACTTGGTGTCTCGGCGTTGGCGCTGAGGTCGACGCTTTGGTTGGAAAGGATGTCGGGGACACCATCTGATATGAGAATTGCAGGCGTACTGCCGTTGTAGAAGTTCTCGATGGCGTAGGGCTGAGGCGTCCGCTCTATCCAAAGGGGGTAGGATGCGATTGTAATGCCAGCAACATAGTGAAGTTGAATGATGACAACGGCGAGTAGAAGGAACGATAACATCATGCGTCTTGTAAGCGATGAGCTATCTGATAGTGACAATGGAAGGCAATCTTCGAAACTCGAGCTTATATGTGTCTACTTGCGTCCCGGTTGCTGCGAGAACTCTGTTACGCCGGGTCAATACGAAGTCTTGGAATTCTGCATGCAATTACAGCATCCCGATCGATGACGTCGAAGCAGGGATCAGTGCATTGAAGTGGTTACCCATATAGGATTATTGCAGGGTACATCGCCCCATCTTGGCATTCTACACATAGGCTGTCAAATTGGGGCGTAAAAGAGACGCACGATACTCAAAGCGACGCGGAACAGTCTTGAAGATCTGCTGCATACCACGGTTAGACTGTTGGAGATAAGCTTGCTACTAGAATGCGTTTTAGCAGATGCAGTATGAACGCATGATGAGACAGAAAGCACGTCAGAGGAAAGAACAAAGACATAAAAGCTTCCCATGTCTGATCGGGTCGCTAATGAGATGGAATTCAGATTTGGCTTTCGCCATGCCTACCTATCGTAACGCCGTAGTACCAACATTGCCGGATCGGGTGCGCATTGTACGCATCTGTAGAAGAATGCCAAGGTACGTTTATTCGTTGTACAGTAGCCTTAGTGAGACTGTATCCAGCCCAACATTT